ATAGTGGGGCACTGTGGGATAGCAAAAATAATGTGAAAAATAAAAATAAATTTATAAGCTTGTTTACACAATTATGCAAATGATGAGCACTTATACATGGCTGATTCCTCAATTATTCATGGTTTGAAGCCGTTGAAAATTCAATTCAACTCAATAACCTTTTCTTCAGTTGTTATTATGAGCAAGGTACTGTAATTTGAGGAAGGGGAGACAAAGATACAATTTGATAAGGAACATTAGAGAAATACACAAATGACTGCAATACAAGTTGAATAAGCACAGTAAGAAAAAGTACAATACATGCTCTGAGGGTTTAGTGCAGAAGAGATAACATCTGTTTGGGTGGATTCTTGGAGAATGGAGGAGATTACATTAGAATCCCCTCTTCTCCATTCCTAGCACAGGTTATTTTGGTTGAGGTCCTTATCTCCTCTCATCTGGACTATTAGAGCAACTTCCTATCTGATCTCCCCCTCTAATTGCTGTTTCCTGAGTGATCTTTCTAAAGGCAACGTGATTATATCACTCCTGCCTTTAAACCCTTTATTGTTTCCATTGTCTGCAAGAAAGGGTTAAAGTTTCTCAGGATCTCCACTCAAAGTCTAAATGTCTGTCATTCTGTGAGGCCTCAGTACTCCTTGTCTCCCTGCCATGTACATAGCGCCTTCTACACGTCATGCTGCTTGGGCCCCATGATCTCAATGACCTTGCCCATGCTGCTCCTCCTACTGAACTGGCCTCCCTCTTCTCTCTTTTTCTCATTTCCTTTCATGGGTCCCCCATTTGCTGGAGAACTTCTTTGACACTTTCCTTGCTGCCCCCTCCTGCAAGACAGGGCTGATGATTCTCACCCTGCCTCTCTATAGTGCATAGCCTCACCATCTCACTGTCACACTGTAATTAGGCGTGATGGAGGCATGCCTTGCCTTCCTTGTAAGAGTGTGTCCTCCATGTGTTCAGAGTCCAGACAGGGTGTGGCACCTAGTATATGCTAAATGCATGTCTGCCGAATTATGTTGAATTTGTTGCACGGGTAGGTAGGATGCATTGTTTTCCATAGGATTCAGGGATGAGTAAATGGTGAGAAGTGAATGTAGAATGTTCTTCCCTGGAATCCAGGACAAGAGAAAGAGAGAGTGAATAAGGAAATCAAGGGAAAGTTTTTTTGTTTGTTTGTTGTAATGGAGACCAAGTCTCGTTTACAAGCAGAAGAAAAAGAACTTATAGAGAATGAGAGAAAATGCAAGTAAGGAAAGGAGAGCAATGGGTGGATCAGGCTATAGAGGAGAAGGGTAAAGAAGAGACCAAGGACTCAGTGGAAGAGTTAGTTGTGGCCAGGAGGAACCCTTTCTCTCCAGAGACATGTCAAAAGCAAGTTGGGCAGGATGATTGCACAGAAGCATTCTGAGAAGGAGAGTGAAACTGAGCAAGCTCTTTCTGTATGACTCCAGGCTTAGTGAAGGAGGAGGTGAGTTTGCATGTAAACTGCCAGTTGATGTATCCAATGCCATTACATTTTGCACATGTAAACTACAAGATGTTGAGAGCAAACACAAGTACTAGGAAGGTACTTGGACAAGCAGTCACCTGTTAGATAATATGGTCTTAATGAAACCCTTGTCACAACGGCACGGAATGCTTAATTTCCTGAGAAATGGGTGGGCCAAGGCATGGAGGTTCTGCCAAGACCTCCTCTGATACTCCTCTTTCCCCTTCCATAGTGATATGGTTTGGCTGTGTCCCCACCCAAATCTCATCTTGAATTGCAGTTTCCGTAATTCTCACATGTCATGGGAGAGACCTGGTGGAAGGTACTTGAATCATGTGGGCGGTTACCTCTATGCTGCTATTTTCATGATGGTAAGTGAGTTTTCCTGAGATCTGATGGTTTTATAAGGGGCTTTTCCCTTTTTGCTTGGCACTTCTCCTTCCTGCCATCATATGAAGAAGGACATATTTGCTTCCTCTTCTGCCATGATTGTAAGTTTCCTGAGGCCTCCCAACAATGCTGAACTGTGAGTCAATTAAACCTCTTTCTTTTATAAATAACCCAGTCCCAGGCAGTTCTTTACAGAAGTGTGAGAACAGACTAATACACATAGGAAACAGCCACTTGGGCTCTGACTGATCAGAGGTTTGGCACAGAGTCAAACACTGCAATTCTGGAGTTGTACTTTGCTGAGCCTCCTCAATCTGGTTTTATCACGCAGCAAAGCAGACATTTACACTCTAACTGTAGTTTCTGATCAAAGCCATAGTTTAAATGGATTATAAGTAATTTCCTCCTGAAGTCCCTCAAGAGTCCCTGAAGTCTGGGGTGAATTTTGGACTGGTAGGGCCAGTGCAGGAAAAGTGGGTTTGCCCACAGCTATGCCCAAACCCCAGGTCCCCTCCTTCACCTACCTGGCTCCTTGGAGTCCTTAACATCCCTCCAGGGGAATATGGTGGGCAGTCATTCCCCACCCGAGTGCTAATGCTCAAGGGTTAAGCTCAAGGTTTAGCTTCTCTTGAAAGTCTGTAAGAGCAGCTACATTTGTTGAACATTTCACAAAGAAGCTTAAATTCAGGGATACTTCTTTCATGACCACCCATATCTAGAAGGGCAAAACGTGTTTTTAGGAGTTTCAAGATTTAATTCTGGGGATAGCCAGGTGCCTAGTTTGGTTGGGACAATATAGCAAGCAGATAACTCAGTTTATTTGTTTGTAAGAATATATTTACCTAAACATTGAACCATCTGTTTATGTTTACTTTTGCTTGTTTTTTCAAATTCCTCTTTCCCACTTTGCTTTTATTTTTATAAAATCTGACAGAAGGGTATTAAGTTGAAAGGCTATGTCTATTTGGCTTGATAAGTGTGTTTTTCCTTTTTGGGAGTGAACCCACCCTTAAGAGTTACAGAGTGTGCTGAACATATTCATAAAGTGAAACATTCATATTTCTCACTATTTTACATTATTCTCTGCCAAAGTCAGGTACTAACAGCATTAATATCAAAGTAAATTGCTAAATAATAGCTGCTCAATAAAGGTTATTGTCTAGAACTGAAAGTTATCATAAGGTGTAAGGGTATAGAATGAAGCTTTTCCATAAATTATCACAACTGAAAGATAGAACTCTGTCCTGGGCCCCTTACCCCAAATTACCATTTTTTGAAAGTGCATGGTCATGGAGACATATCTACACACAGAATCATAGACTGTTAGAGATGAAGGGCACCTTATGGACACACACAAACCCAGTTTTAGGCTGCAAAATGGGAGAAAATAGTACAGTACTTCAAAACCTGTCTGCAGTACAGAGCAGGCTTGAAGCTGGGAGCTCAACTCCCCAAATATCACATTTATCTCAATTTGGTAAGAAGCTGAAAACCTATCTGGGACCATTTAAATTCTAATGTTATTAAGGGCTCATCTAATCAGCTTTTAAAATAAGCTGCTTCGAATGCATGGGAAATGAAGGTGAGATAGAAGCAGGCAAGCAAGGCAGTTCAGGCCAGCCTGTGAGCACCTGGGTTTGAATTGCCAAGGAGCCATGAGGGGACCTGGCTGCCTACCTATTTGGTAACCCCTGCAATTCCAACACCAAGCCATGCTAGTGAAAAGTGATTTGTAAATGTGTAGGGGAGGGGACTAATCTGGACAAGCTCTGTTCTCCTATGAGGTGGTTCAGATACATGTGACAAGCTTGGCCGGGAAAGATGGACTACCCTCTGTGCCAGGAGGTGACTTTGAGATTTAATCAGCAGGGTTTGTCAAATATTCTTTTATCCCAAGTGCTTTCCCTGAGCAGAGTGCAGGTCAGTAAAAATGTCTCCATTGTAATACACTGCCAGTGATGCTTTCGTGACAGGCGCCATTAGCTGCTGGTACACCATGGTCCACCTTCCAGCTCTGCTTGGTTGCAGAGAACTTGATCTGAACCAGCTGGTATCCTAGAAGCAACAAACTAACCAAGTCTCCCTTAAGTGTGAATGGTTAATAGCCAGTGTGATGTGATAATGCCTCTTGTGAACTTGAATGTCCAAAGGTGTTTTAAATGGCATGCAGTACTTTGCAGTCAAGTGCCCCCAAGGGAGGCAGGCTGCCGCTGAGGGTGTTCTGGACCGATTCAAACACGGGGCTGCAGAAAAGACTTGCCTTAAGTCTGCAGAGTAGCATGATGGAAACGGAGACTGCAGTGAGTCTGAGGAAGAAAATGAGCTCCTGAACAAACTTTTCTGAACAAACTTTAGCAATTGTATAACAGAGAGAGAAGACTGGTGGCCGTATTATTGTTTTGTACAATGAAAAAGGGCCACACTTGTTTGAAAAGTTCCCAGTTCAGTATATCAAGCTTGAGTACCATGGAAAGTTATTAAAGGAGCAAAATATTCACTGTGCCTGCCAACTCTGTGAATCCTAACAGCCTTCTCCTGTGGACCATTTTTTAGAGGTTATTATTTCAACCTGAAAATTCTTTAGACATATATATGTGGTATGAAAAAGGAATTAGGAAAGCTTTTAAATTAAAGGAAATAAAACGACAGGTTTTTCCTCCAGCCATATAGTTATGGATAGAGATAAAGAGATGGATATTTTTTCATAATACTTTATTAGGGGTTTTGGAACTCCAGAAATTTTAGAGTGAGACTGGTGAATAATTTAGCACTGATTCATGCAGGCCCAGTGCAGGCACGGGCAGGCTGGGAGTCAAGTCTAGCTTCTTGGAGGGACTGAGCACAGTAACACACTTTTATTACCAACCGCATCATGAAATGCATTCAGAAATATTTTATGAGAAGCCAAAGCCTCGGTACCCGGTTTCTCCAGCTTTTTCAGAGACTGCATGAAGCCCAGAGGAGCTAATGCTGTTGACCACCTCATTTCAAGGAGACTAGCCCCCAGGGTGTTGTTTCAATAACAGAGGGTCTTGGATCCCTGGGAATATGCAGTTACTAATGAAAGCCTCAAACTGGCCATGGGAATGATTAATGATCAAATGTTCACAGGAAATGGTACCTTTCGTGATGGTGTCCTCGATGTTTTCTCTTTACTGCACGTTCTTTAATCCTAATTCCAAAAGAAATCTGCCCTCTATGAAGTTAAAATGATATAGCCACCTGAAACAGAAATAAGGGAGGGAAGAAATATATTAATGGTTTCAAAATAAGAAAGCCTGGTTTCCTTTTTATTCTAAGTGCCACATCTCCTTTAAAATAAATTCGTATGTGCACCATGTGAATTTCCAAAGCAAAAAAAAAAAAAAATTGTTGCTTAGTTGCTTCTTCTCTCCAGAGACTTTCATTTATTTCATTGATTTTCTTTCATTCATCTCATAGTTTTCAATAAAAAGGTAAATATTTGAGGTAAACAAATCTATAGAATGATTATAAATCCAGAAATGTGCTTCATGTCTTTGAAAGTGGCTGTAATAACATGCTTAGCTGATCTGATTATGATAAATGCTTGGTACTCCCTCCAAAAAGCCTTCTATACAAACCTCTGCTCCCCAACCTGACCCCCTCTTATGTCCTTAATGTCCTTGGCACTCTAAGCATTCCTACGTCGTGAAGTCTCCACGTACTATAAACCTCTTTATGTGTGCCATGCTCACTCTGGACTCCCAACTTTTCAGGGTCAGAGTCTTTGACTTGCTCACTGCTTTAGTTCCTGTCCCAAGCACAATGCCAGTGCATAAAAGTTCAACAAAGAAGGAATAAATGTATGCAAAACAAAGAGTCATTCTCCCAGGTTAGAACAACCTCCAACAGAAGCAGTGGCATCAAATGTTAAGTGAGAGGCTTCTGAGTAAGCACATTTGTTAGCCTCTGTAATCAGGGGTCCTACACAGATCTTGGACCAGACCTCCACTACAAAATTTCCAAGGATGTGTTGACACAGTTGGTGGCTCGATAATTATGCCTTCAAGGGCTTGCTTCTCACAAACCCTGCTAAGTCTTCTCCAAATGGGACGCTGAGCCTCAGGGATATCATTTATAGATGACTCAAGAGGATGGATTTGCAAAAATCAGGTGATGTCTGAGAGAGGAAGAAGCAGGCATTTGGCTGAGGTGCAGGCTTGCTTATTTAAGACATTTGTGAATAAATTAACCTTCCCTGGAAGACCTCATGAAACCTCAGAACTGGAAGAAGTGTAAAGATTATTTAGCTCTGGAAGGGCAAACATTTTCCATCTTGAGTGAATACTCCAGTGCATCCACTGTGGCTGCCTGGAGAGTGGGGACAAGAAGAATTCTGAGGTGGCATCACAGGGAAAGAACTGGTCATCAATGGGTTTGCCAGGGTCCAGGACTGGGAGGTGTTGCAGGTGATATAAATGCCAGGTATTTTTCTCTTCCAATTCTAATCTGGCTGCTCACCAAATGGAAGAATTGCAGGTTCTTTGGACAGTGTAATTTAGATGGTAGTTGTCCACAAATTGCAGCCTATTTGGGGGGCAGATAGCTCTGAGGCTAGAAAATCTCTTCTTCCATGGAATTACAACTCCCCCTCCTGTTTGCTTCTATCCGCTGACCTTTCTTTTCCTCATCCTCACCTGTGAGGTGCTGACTTCACTCTCAGAAAGCTGGTCCAATATCTTTTGAACCAACTACATCAAAAGTCATGAAAAATATTAGGAAAATCCCCTTCACTTGAGTTTATTAAAAACACTGAGTACCTTTGACATGCTATTTTATTGTTATCTGTTTCTCCAACTAGATGTAGGCACAGTTGTTCACTCATTCAACTAACACGTTTATTACATTTTAAAGTTCTTCATTTGATATTCCTAAAATTATAAAAGTGACACATGCTTATTATAATTCACAATAGCAAAGACTTGGAATCAACCCAAATGTCCATCAGTGACAGATTGGATTAAGAAAATGTGGCACATATACACCATGGAATACTATGCAGCCATCAAAAAGGATGAGTTTGTGTCCTTTGTAGGGACATGGATGCAGCTGGAAACCATCATTCTTAGCAAACTATCACAAGAACAGAAAACCAAACACCGCATGTTCTCACTCATAGGTGGGAACTGAACAATGAGATCACTTGGACTCAGGAAGGGGAACATCACACACTGGGGCCTATCATGGGGAGGGGGGAGGGGGGAGGGATTGCATTGGGAGTTATACCTGATGTAAATGACGAGTTGATGGGTGCAGCACACCAACATGGCACAAGTATACATATGTAACAAACCTGCACGTTATGCACATGTACCCTACAACTTAAAGTATAATAATAATAAATAAATTTTAAAAAATAAAATAAAAAAGTTAATATAAAAATGTATGCAGAAGATGCTAATCATTTCCCCCAATCTCAGTTCCTTAAATAACATTTTAATACACTGGTAAGTATCCTTCTACCCTGTCATAATTCCCAGGAAACAGCTTGAGACTGGATATGTACACAGAAGGCTTACTGAGACTTAACTCCTGAGGGCTATGACACCCGGGGGAAGTACAGGAAGTGGAACTGACCAGAGGGAACGTTGGAGTTGTCCTGCATTGAAAAAGGACCCAGGTCTTTGGGCCCCACATGCACCCGTCTTTGGCTCTGGGCTGCCCCAGGGAGAGGATGGGCAAAGAAGCTCTTTTTGGCTGATGGTGATGCCTGAAAAGGGACTCAGCTGTGAGCTGTCAGCAGCCAACGCTCCCAGCAGCTGCAGAATTGAGTGCCTCAGTTGGGTGGTGTCTCAAAGCACCCAAATATACACCCTCCCTTTTGCTCATTTAAACCTAATTATGCATATATAACAGATATATGGGATGTTTTTGTTTATCGTTTTAAACTGAAATACTCTGCAACTTGCTTTGACTTAACATACAAACATCATCATTTTTCCTCTAATTTATTTATGCATACATACACATACTTTTACAAGATTATATTATACATGTAGAATTTTTAGTGCACTTTTTTTTCTCCATTGCTTGCGTCTCTCTACCTCCTCTCCTTCCCTGCACCATCCACATTACCTCAGCCCCTGTGTTGGCAGCATGGAGTACAACCTTTTAGACTTCCTTTCACACTCATTTAACCACATATATACATATGTGAATGTAGATATGTGCACTTATTTACTTTTTCAGTCATTGGCAGCAACAATTTACTGAGAGCCTTGTGAGTACCCAGGCCCATGCCAGGCACCGGGAATATGAGGAAGAGGATACAGCCACCACCTGCAAGGAGCTCCTGTCTTTGAGGGAGAGGGACATGGGAACTTGTCAGGGCATGCACCTCCAAAGTGATTGAGAGGACTAGAACTAAAATGCAGGGCTTCTGTATTCTAGTCCTGTCCTCTTTTCCACTTAACCAGTTTTATTTATTTAAACAGGTTTCCAACTGTTGACTGAACAACTGCCAAACTGAACTTGAGTGTGTGTGCCAATCTTCCTGAAGTCATTACCATGCTAGCTCTGATAGAATGCAGCTCATTGTGAACCCCATATACTGGCCCTTGTGATATCTTACCTCACTAATAGGTCCACTTAATTTGATGAACAAGTCCTACAGCCCTAATATCACACAAAGGCCTTATCTTAAGATAGATTCATATAACTGGTGACAAGGCAAAGGATTATTATGACAGCCATTCTTGAAGCTGATGTGTCACAATGTAGTCACATATTCCTGCAACAGCAAGTTCTAGAGGCAAAACTATTAGCTGAGACAAATATGGGGTACAGGGCTCATGCTCCCAAATCCTTTTAACTTACACAGTTTCAGAGGGACCCAACGGAGAGGGGAAGTGACACCCCAAGAGACATACACGAGAGTAAAGAGCATGCTGACCTGACCCTCCAGCAGCTTCAGCAAATGGATGTGCTCTTTCTGTCCACACTGCAACCTACTCATTTACCTGCATGTCCCCTTTTCATGTCCAGCATTATCTGGGGTCAACTTGCAACAGCTCATCTTTGGAAAAAATTTCCTGTGACATATGTCTGGAAAATGTACATTGTATTTTCCTTCCTTATCAAGTGCTGACCCCTCTGTAACACAGGTGAGTTCAGTCATCTGAGGGACTTGGCTTGGACTTCGTAGCATGGGCTCCGTGCCCCTGATTGCCTTGGCAAGAACTGAGGATCTGGACAGTCCAAAAAGTGCAGCCCAAAAAGTACAGCCCAAGAGACTCTGTTGACCTCAATCACAGATTTTTCTCCAGAACTTTGTGTTTTTGTCCTCTTTGGCTTAGGTGAGTCATGGACTTTAGAAGAAAGACACCTGCTGGGCCAGGTAAGATCCAACAATCAAAAACTGCAGAGGTTTCAGACTTGACAGTAACAGTTCATTTTGACATGCAGTATAAGCTTTGTTGCTTGAAAGGTTTTGGTTGATGTACTACAAATTGCTGGAGATGTTCCCGTAATGGCTATTTGATCCCAAGGATGCTGATCAGCTATAGACAAAATTGCCCAATACCCCAAAGTATGGTCAATTCATTTTGTTCTCAATTCTCACAGCAGTTGGTTGCTGAACAATGGATCAGATTGTGAACAGCCTTCAAATTGTACTTAGTCATCTTAATGTGAAAATGGGAAATTTAGGCAACTGTTGGTGATCTGACCCATATTCTGCTTCAGACTCACAAAGTTTCCTACCAGGAGGGGTCTTGAATGGCTGTTATTTCAGACTCCTACTTTCAGGCATACAAATCTGAATGTTTCTTAGAAGGATTTCTCTGACCCGCTGGTATTGGCAAGGCTTTGCAATTCAGCAGAGTGTAAGAAGTTCATGAATTCTCCATTTATCTACTGACGCATAACAAATTACCCTAAAACTCAGTGGTTGAAAATAATAAACATTTATTATCTCATAATTTCTGTGGGTCAGGAATTCAGAAGCAGTTTATCTGAGTGGTTCTGGCTAAGGGTCTCTCATGAGGTTTCAGTCAAGATGTTGAAGGCTGCAGTCTTCAACCTGGTAGGAATAGAGGATCTGCTTCCAAGATGACTCATTTGTGTGATATTGGTCATTGCAGAAGGCCTCAGCTTCTCCCCATGTGGGCTGCTACAAGGGTTCTTGAGTGTCCTTACAACGTGGTGGCTAACTTCCCCCAGAGTGAACAATCTGAGAAAGTGCAAGGTGGAAGCCACAGTGT